GACTTCTACCCGATAGCCCACTCGAAAAAGGGGCTAAGCTGACGTAACTGAAAGTAATCACTCCTCGAAGGGAGTCCTTCATGCCGGCTACCCAGTGTTCCTTGATAACGTATTTTGTACCTTTAAATGTAATAACTCATTTACCAAAAATAATCTGATGCTCAATTAAATGACTCAAGGGCACACTGACTGAACAAATCGAAGGCTTTTTATGAGTGGTAAGAATGCATTGTTTAATAGGGTAACTATTAAATTAATGCAAGCCAGAAGGAATTTTTATTGCACTTCTGCCTCTTTGTTGCACAGTGAAATTGGCGCATCTTTCGACGCAAGCAGAGTGGCGCAGTGGAAGCGTGCTGGGCCCATAACCCAGAGGTCCGAGGATCGAAACCTTGCTCTGCTATGTGCTGAGATACTTTTTTTTGGGAGATGATCATTGAAAGATTCACCAAAAATATGTTATATCTGAGTAATAAACTAGTAGCTAGAATAGCTAATATTCGAGTTGCATTTGTGATGCGTTTATTCCGCATTTTTGTTAGCGCTGCTGCAAGAAACTAAAATCGAAAATTTGCTTTGTACTTTGAGTAGAATTTCGAGGGCAAAGATTTCCCATGAAAGTACCCTGTCCGGCGAAAAGCTGGGGAAATCTCAGATGCCCACATAAATCTTTCGGCCATCTATGCGGGTTCGAGTTCTGAGATTTCAGTTGTGAATTCTGAATTCCAGTTCGGGCTCGGGGCTCTCCATCTTTATCAGCTGCACAGTTTCCGATGCCAAAATGTGAGGAGCAGATATCACACAGCTGCTCGAGGCATTCCACGCACATGTCCACGATCCGAATGAGATTTCCTCCGATTCTGGGGTTAAATCGAGGAGAAGGCGGTGGCCATGTGCTGCTCTTCGGTTTGTCGACAACGGCGGCGGCTGCATGCCATAAAAGTGATGAGGCGAACTGGTTGCCAGCCGTCGATGGAAGTCGCAGATTGGTTCCCCTCTAGAAGATGCTGATGCCAAATGTTGGGATAAAACGGGCTAAATAAATAAATCGCATTTTCAAATTTATCCCAGTAGAAACGAAATGAATATTACTTTGTATGTTGCTTGTATTATGGTTATCAAAAAACCATTAGCACACTAGTAAAGTGAGACAATTTGCCGGAGGCAAAGCTCGTTTACTTAAAATAAATCAACATAATCATCCTTTTTAGCCAAAGTGAAGTATTAACCCGCTCCACGACCCTCAGAATCTGGCATATGTGCCGTGGAAGTTGCCAAGCTGCCATTTCTGATGCCAAAGTGCCGGCTGCATGTGTGATCGTGGATTGGGAATCAGGAATCGAGAATCGGGGCGAGGAAAGCGCACACATGTGACGTGGACAGCTGGGAGGATGAGGATGTGGAAGGGCCTTGCCGAGGGGGTTGGGCGGCGAGGTAGGGAGGGTGAAAGGCAGGCAGAAACAAAGGCAAACCAATCCGAACCGAACCGAAACGTCCTTGCCCCGCAGCAGGAAGCTATGCACATATGCGCAATCATAAAAACTTGAACGATCGACACGTGTGCAGAATTTCCGCGCGCTCGCCGGCAGAAGGCAAACAAAAATCGCCAAGGAAAATGTCTGTGTCTGTGGAAATGTATCGCATATGTTGGATGGATGCAGAGCATTCCCAGACTGCGATATCGATATACTGCCAATGGCAGAGCAAATCCCCTAGGCAGCTGCTCCAGGCTGGCCACCAAAAACGGTAGCCGTGCAACTTTCTATGCCCATGCAATCAAATCGCAAAACGCACCGCAAACGAAGGAAGCTGTGAGTTTGTGAGTCTGGGAGGCTGGGAGGCTGGCGAAGAGTAGGGAAGCTGTGTAGCTGAGTAGCTGGCAAGCTGGGAAGTTGAGTATGAGCCACTGCAGCCAAGCAGCTGCCAATGCCGATGGACGGACTTGCTGCCTGACTTTCATTAGCATTTCTAACGGCCAACGCAGCTGGCAAAGACGAACTCCAATCCACTCCACTCCGCACTGGCCAAACAAACAGATGCTAGGAGTAAGTAGCCTCTGGACGCTGGACGCGAACTGGATCGATCCGAGGCGACATCGTCATCGGGACGGCGGCCGGGGCAAGGTAAAATGTGTCCAGGTGCACTCGGGAAAACTGGGTGTTTGATTAGGTATTTAGGCAGTGAGGTAAAGAGGTAAATAGGGGAATATTGCAGACATAAATTATTGAAATTACAGTTTTTATAGACGGGTTATATCTCCAAAAGTATGCAATACAAGTGGCTGAATGATTTCAGTGATTTCAAGACCTTTATGATTTTATCAGTAGGAATTGAGTATCAGCAACATTTCCTACGGATATTTCGCGCAGTGTGTGTACAACAGCTGTACGCAGACTGCATTTGCGTTGGAAATATTTTTAATTGCTATTGGAATTTTTCAATGTGCGCCTCTTGGACATCTTTCATTCGCTTGCGGATTTCGGACTGCGGATAGCGGATTCGTGTGGGTTGCCAGTTGCCTGCCAGTTGCAAGTGGCCAGTTGGCGAACTGTAACGCAGCAGTTGGTCTGCAACAGTTGCAGTTGCAGTTGCAGCTCGCAGCCGCAGCATCTGCTGCGTGACAATTGCCCGGTTGGTATTGAATTCAATTAAAGCCGCTGGCTTTTGGCCAACAGCTGAAGCCGCTGACCGTTTGACATAATAACTGGCCACATTAGCAGCAATTGGCTGTGGTCAATTAACTTTTTTCTGCACGTTTTCGCTCTCCTTTCCCCATTTTCCCCGTTTTTCGCCACGCTTGTCGCGCTTTTCCTTATTTGCAACATTCATTGACACCTGCAATTGCGGAGTTGCAGGTTGCTGGCGTTGCTAGTGCTGCTGTCGTGTTCATGTTGTTGATTGGCAATCAATTTGTTGCCCGTTTTTATGATTCGCAGTGCGTCAATATCAACTAACTGTTTTTCTGCCTCTCTCTGGCAGTTGGTAATTTATTATGTTGTTGCAGTTGCAATTAACACGGCAGCAACATGCGGCATTCTCCACAACAATGGCCAAAAGCAAATGTTGCATGTGGGAGTTGCAGTAGCAGTTGCACTCGCTGTTGCGATGTTGCTGCTGTCGATTTGCGGCGCGTGTTGCAGACGTGAAACCAGCAGTCTGCCAGTCTACCAGTCTACCAATCTACCAGTCTACCAGTTTTCAAGTCAGCGGAACCCAGACATATGGCCAAGATAAGCGGCATAATTATGCAAATTTGTTATAACAATCAGCGGCACCACAGCAACAACAGCAAATGCAATTCCAAGACGACGACCACATTTTATGGGCAGCGTTAAACGCCGTCAACAGCAATTGCAATTGCCATTTATGGGGCGTTAGAATCTAAGTTACTACATAATCACCGGTGATAGTTTTTATTCATTTGCCGATATCTAATACCAGTCAGCCTGCATACTTGGCTCTCCTATCGATGAGCTCCCGTAGGATGCAAACAAAGCCTTCATAAATCGCCTTTGGCCAGCCCGCAATAAAGTTGAAAACTACATTGCAAATTTGAATACAAACATTGGCAATTGACAGAGTCCGTCGACGACATTGGGTAGCAACAAATCAATTGCAGCAGCAGCAACATTCTCGTGCATATGGTAGGATACAGTGGAAAAAAAGCTTGGTACTCAAAGAATATCTCAAATACTAAGGTCCCTTCATAATACTCTTCATTACTACATAAGCATAGGTATGACAGACTTTAATGCGGTGGTGCTGCTCGCATTTGATGGAACACTTGCAGCATTTGGATGCCCTTCTTTCTGCGAGTGCCTTTGGTATTCAGATTTCTCAGTGGCTAGGCTACGATCATTGTTTTCCATTCTCCATTCTGGCTGGTGACTACGCATGCATAAATGCCTTTATAATCATTTCGTTGAACAAAATTTAGACGTCACTTGGCTGTCAGTTGGGTCAGCTTGATCGCCTGACGAACTGGACATGTGGAAGACTTTGCAGGAGCAGCCGCGCTCGGCGATGCGAGTTTGGGAGCGGAGGAGAGCCAGGGCACCAGATCATGTCCATATTTGCATTTTTGAAATGACACATGGAAATTTTCGATGTTTTGCCTTTTGAAAGCGAGCGGCCAACAGATTGACAGCAGCTGCAACTGATGACAACAGCAACATGAGACACACAGCACAGCAGCAGCAGCAGCAGCAGCAGCAGCAACAATGGCCTGGAATGGCAAGCGAAAGTCGTGCGCAAATCCGACCAGGCGACAGCATATGGATATGCTGCATGGGATATGTGCTATATGGGAATAGCCGGAGATAATTGCTGTCGCATATTTTCCACGTCCACTTGTTGTCGCCGACTTAGCTGCAACGGCAGCAACATGTGTTGCTCTCGACTTTTGGCCGGCTGCCTTTTTGGGTTACTGCGGCGGCAACATGTTGCAACTAGCCAACCGTCGAGCGTCCGGCTGCGCAAATATTTGGAACTTCCCCCGATAGGAAGCTACTTTGCGCGCCATCTCATCAGCATGGCCAGCACATGGTTTTCAACGCCTTTCGCCCCACTGTGCGACCAAGTTCAATGTCTGGCACAGCAGCAGCAACAAAAAGCCGCGAGAACAAACAGCGAATATGTAAGTGCAAAAGGCGAGTGAAAAGCGTTCAAGAGAGATTTTATACTTAAACGGTATAGGCACTTTCTAAATGCTCTGTAAATAACAAACGGGCGCTTAATAAAGCCTCTCCTATAATCAGGTGATAACAAATAAATGGATATCATGAAATGGCAAATAAAAAGCTATAATTTTATAACACAACTTTTACCCATTGGGATATTGTGTGTAAATTTTGCACTCCCGAACTGAAAGGCAAGTGCAGTAAACAAACCGTTTTGCGGTAATCGGCGTTGAGCACACTGCACCTTTCTCCGAGTTCTCAGAGAGAATTCCAGTCGAGAGCGGCAATTGCATTGAGAGAGTGAGAGAGGGATAGCACTCTCTGCTCTCCTGCGCCAAGGCAGCTTGGAACCGCTTTTTGCTCAGTTCGCCAATAAAGACGCTGCCACATGGACATGCACAGGCTGATCTTCGAGGTGCAGCAGCGGCCGGCTCTCTGGGACTCGAGGCACCCGGACCACGCCAACCGCCCGGAGACGCAGCGCCTCTGGAACGCGGTGGCGGAGGCCATCGGAATCGATGGTGAGTGCACTGCGCGGAATCGGGCTGTAGCACGTAGTCAATTTCGTTTTAGTGTAACAGGAACAAATTTCGATACACCTAAATATTGTTATAACATTCAATTATAACTACAATTTTATGAATAAAATAATATTTCTTAAAATAATATTACTTAAAATAATATTACTAAATAATTTAATAAATAATATTATTAAATGGCATTTTTTAATGTCCATCTGAAATAGTAATATTATATTCAGCATTCTAGTATTACTAGTATTATAATAAGTTCACTAGCATTTGAAAGAAATTTGTTATTTTCAGGTATTATTATTTTAAATTATTGTAAAATCATATATTTAGTGCAAACTTTTCTCGGTGTACTGTATAATGAGTGCATTGTTTACGTTCTCTTTTTCTTAATCGCATATGGGCTCTCTGGCATTTCAGTTGAGGTTTGTCGCACCAAGTGGAAAAATCTGCGCTGCAGCTATCGCCGCAGTAACCGGCGAAGTGGCCTCTTAAAGCACCAGCAGTCGCCCTCGCAGGGTCACCAGTGGTCATATGCGGAGGCCATGAGTTTCCTGGACGGCCAGCGATTGTTGCGGGAGGAACGTGATAACAGCAACAACGACGAGGAGGAGGAGATGGAGAGCGCAGCACTGAAGACTGAAGCCGAGCCCATGCTGTCGACCTTTAAGAGCGAGCAAGTCTCGGCTGCGGATGAAATGGAGGCGGACAACGATGCGCTGATGCGCGAATTCCAGAACGTGTCCACTCCGCAGGCGTTACGCCGGCTCTCCGAGAACATCTCCTTGGCCAGTGCGGCGGCGGAGGAGCAGGTCCCACCCACTGCCGCCCAGTTGAGTCCGAATTTGAATCAGGGAAGTGCCATTGCGGCCGCCGCAGCCAACAGTTGCCATTGCTCGAAGAGGGTGGACGAACAGGTCAACTTTCTGGAGAGTCTGGAGCGGGAGGAGCAGCAGCTGATGCAGTCGACCAGCCAGGATCTGGCCAGGTGCAAGAGTGTGCTCCATGTGGGCGACTCCGACTACAACTACCTGATCAGCTTTCTGCCGCTGATGAAGCAAATGACGCCCTACCAGAATGTCTTCTTCAGGGCCAAAATGGGGGAGCTACTGCTGCAGACAATGCAGCAGCCGCCAGTGCAACAGCAGTTGCAGCAGCGGCAGCCGCAGACGCAGCAGCAACTGCAACAGCAACAGCAGCCTGAGCAGCAACAGCAGCCCTCGCAAATGTTGTTGAACCAACAGCAAATGGCCTTGGATCAGGCGCAAGTGAGCACAAGCTCCACAAATTGGAGCTGAATCGGGTATTGGACCGAACACATGAGATATGCAATGCCCTTAATGTTAAGTGTTGGAACTGGACAAGAGCGCAAGCCCCACTGTGCGCATGCCCAGTGCACAGTGGTCCAAGTTCGCTGAGATTGAGATTACTTTCGAATTTCCCACATTGCACATAAACAAAATTAATAAAAATTATAAATTAAGAAGTTATCAAATCGAGGGGCTTCTTTGCTTAACGGGGTGCTTACTCAGAAGTACAAATTTATCGCCCTTACAAATTAATATCGACACCTTTATTGTTTACCAGGGCTGAAAACTTTGTTTTATTCTTCCTTTATATAGTCTGTTTTTTTAATGCCACACTATTGGCATGACATTTGCTGAGTCCAGTCAAAACGAAAAATTAACTTGACGAGTGAGTAGTGTTTGCAATTTCCGTGGAAGTAAAAGGAACGAAATACAACTGATTCCGTTTTGATTGCTTGCCAATCCAAGGAAAACTTTATCAAGAGATGGCCAAGAAAATAGTGCCAGCGTCAGCCAATGCAGGTGCTTCGCATATCAGTACCCCGATGCAAAACATGCACAGCATTAGCGTGAATAATCCATCCGGATTTCTAACGCAAATGGTATTAGTTCCGCTTCTGATCGCCCTCACAACCCAAGAGGCGCACGCCAAGGTGCAGAAGTTGAATCAGATACATCAGATGCTGAAGGCGGTGAACAATTACTTGAAGAGCCAGCTGCCTGCAGAAGTTCAAGCATATTTATAAATGATTAAATACATAGCTGTGATATACATACGATTGCTGAACTTTGAAGTTTCGATTGGGTGTCACCCAGACTCATCGGGCACTAGTTTTGTACACTTATTGAGCCCTCTGCCTGCGTTCAATGCACTTCTGGATCGCCCCCAGCTGCAGAGTAAGCCCAAGATGATAGTGACAATCGTGTGGGCGTCCGAGTGGATTCTACGGCTTCAACTTCAGCTTTTCAGCCTTATTGCCAGCTGCAGATGCAAGGGCATCCGACGTAATCTCGCCTCCGGCTGCCCACACATGTCCGCATTGAGGGTAGGGGTAAAGGAGAGAAGCGGGGAACCAGGGATCGCCCCGTCGCCTCAATAAATTACTGCACACTAGAATGAACCCCATCAACGACGGTGGTCCTGCTTTTCCGTCCGCCGTCCGTCCGTGTGTTAAAAGCCAAGTCCAAACTTAACATGACCATAAAAAAAGAACGCGGCTTGAAAAGCAAACAGAGAAGGGGAATAGGTCGCTCGAGAAATCAACGCAGCTGCGGATGACGAATCGAAATTGACATTGAACCGAGGCTGGAGCCTCCAGAGGATCGGGGTTACAAAGGGGGGGAAATCCAGGGGTGAGGCCACGACAATCGACTCGGTTGCTTTGGTTTTGCTTTTGCTTTTGCCACGGCGACGTCATGTGTTTGAACTTGTTGCAGCCAACTTGGCAGTTGGGGCATGGGCATGGCTATTGGATTCGACTCTTGTAGGTTGTTGCTTGTTGGTTGTTGGCTCTTGGCCTGCCCCATGAATTCCAATTTCAATAGCAGCCATCCACAGAGGTTACCAGTGCACGGCAAAAAAATATTGTGCGCTCAATGCAATTTTCAATTTGTACAACATCATAACATCAGAAAAATGACAAAAATATTTAAAAAAAATAAATTTCCAAATTTGAATGCAGATTTTTAGAGAATTGCTCCAGAAACATTTAGAGGTATGCCACTTTAAAATCCGATTAATATAAGTTGAGTTATGGACTTTAGAACTTCAGCCTTGGGGCACTTTTGAATTATTTTGAATTTGTACAACATCATAACATCAGGAAAATGACAAAAATATTGAAAAAAAATAAATTTCCAAATTTGAATGCAGATTTTTAGAGAATTGCTCCAGAAACATTTAGAGGTATGCCACTTCAAAATCCGATTAATATAAGTTGAGTTATGGACTTTAGAACTTCAGCCTTGGGGCACTTTTGAATTTGTAAAACATCATAACATCAGAAAAATGACAAAAATATTTAAAAAAAATAAATTTTCAAATTTGAATGCAGATTTTTAGAGAATTGCTCCAGAAACATTTAGAAGTATGCCACTTTAAAATCCGATTAATATAAGTTGAGTTATGGACTTTAGAACTTCAGCCTTGGGGCACTTTTGAATTTGTACAACATCATAACATCAGAAAAATGACAAAAATATTTAAAAAAAATAAATTTCCAAATTTGAATGCAGATTTTTAGAGAATTGCTCCAGAAACATTTAGAGGCATGCCACTTTAAAATCAGATTAATATAAGTTGAGTTATGGACTTTAGAACTTCAGCCTTGGGGCACTTTTTAATTTGTACAACATCATAACATCAGAAAAATGACAAAAATATTAAAAAAAAAAAAATTTCCAAATTTGAATGCAGATTTTTAGAAAATTGCTCCAGAAACATTTAGAGGTATGTCACTTTAAAATCCGATTATTATAAGTTGAGTTATGGACTTTAGAACTTCAGCCTTGAGGCACTTTTGAATTATTTTAAATTTTTGTACAACATCATAACATCAGGAAAATGACAAAAATATTTAAAAAAAATAAATTTCCATATTTGAATGCAGATTTTTAGAGAATTGCTCCAGAAACATTTAGAGGTATGCCACTTTAAAATCCGATTAATATAAGTTGAGTTATGGACTTTAGAACTTCAGCCTTGGGGCACTTTTTAATTTGTACAACATCATAACATCAGAAAAATGACAAAAATATTAAAAAAAAATAAATTTCCAAATTTGAATGCAGATTTTTAGAGAATTGCTCCAGAAACATTTAGAGGTATGCCACTTTAAAATCCGATTATTATAAGTTGAGTTATGGACTTTAGAACTTCAGCCTTGGGGCACTTTTGAATTATTTTGAATTTGTACAACATCATAACATCAGGAAAATGACAAAAATATTGAAAAAAAATAAATTTCCAAATTTGAATGCAGATTTTTAGAGAATTGCTCCAGAAACATTTAGAGGTATGCCACTTCAAAATCCGATTAATATAAGTTGAGTTATGGACTTTAGAACTTCAGCCTTGGGGCACTTTTGAATTTGTAAAACATCATAACATCAGAAAAATGACAAAAATATTTAAAAAAAATAAATTTTCAAATTTGAATGCAGATTTTTAGAGAATTGCTCCAGAAACATTTAGAAGTATGCCACTTTAAAATCCGATTAATATAAGTTGAGTTATGGACTTTAGAACTTCAGCCTTGGGGCACTTTTGAATTTGTACAACATCATAACATCAGAAAAATGACAAAAATATTTAAAAAAAATAAATTTCCAAATTTGAATGCAGATTTTTAGAGAATTGCTCCAGAAACATTTAGAGGCATGCCACTTTAAAATCAGATTAATATAAGTTGAGTTATGGACTTTAGAACTTCAGCCTTGGGGCACTTTTTAATTTGTACAACATCATAACATCAGAAAAATGACAAAAATATTAAAAAAAAAAAAATTTCCAAATTTGAATGCAGATTTTTAGAAAATTGCTCCAGAAACATTTAGAGGTATGTCACTTTAAAATCCGATTATTATAAGTTGAGTTATGGACTTTAGAACTTCAGCCTTGAGGCACTTTTGAATTATTTTAAATTTTTGTACAACATCATAACATCAGGAAAATGACAAAAATATTTAAAAAAAATAAATTTCCATATTTGAATGCAGATTTTTAGAGAATTGCTCCAGAAACATTTAGAGGTATGCCACTTTAAAATCCGATTAATATAAGTTGAGTTATGGACTTTAGAACTTCAGCCTTGGGGCACTTTTTAATTTGTACAACATCATAACATCAGAAAAATTACAAAAATATTAAAAAAAAAAAAATTTCCAATTTTGAATGCAGATTTTTAGAAAATTGCTCCAGAAACATTTAGAGGTATGCCACTTTAAAATCCGATTATTATAAGTTGAGTTATGGACTTTAGAACTTCAGCCTTGGGGCACTTTTGAATTATTTTGAATTTGTACAACATCATAACATCAGGAAAATGACAAAAATATTGAAAAAAAATAAATTTTCAAATTTGAATGCAGATTTTTAGAGAATGGCTCCAGAAACATTTAGAGGTATGCCACTTTAAAATCCGATTGAGTTCAGCTCTGGACATTTTTTAATTTTTTGAATTTGTGCTATATCATAACATTAGATTTAGATTGATTTCTGCATGTTACATTATATTAAAGTATTTAGTATACCCTTTTAATCTACTAGTAACGGGTGTAATGAAAAATATAACAATACTTTCTCGATTTATAAGTCATAATGAGTAATGAAAAATATAACAATACTTTCTCGATTTATAAGTCATACTTAAAATGTGTTTAGTTTCAGTATCGCTTTTTTTCGCAGTGAAGTTGGGCGGTCTGAAAAACAGTTTAAGGTGTGTTCTTGAGCTTGAAAGCCGTCGAGCCCACAGTGGCAGTTACCGATTCCGATTCCAGTGATTGGAAACAGTTGGGTGCCGGGTTGATAAGGGGGCGGGGGCGCAATTAACGGCGGCCAAAAGAAACATTTGCAAATCGAATGCAAATTGACATTTGTCACTCGAACGTGCCCATGGCCAATGCATTAAATTCCACGCTGCCGAACATTCCAAATTTAGTTTCCATTCGCTCTTGGCCTTACTGTTAACAGAAAACTGGACAGAAAACTGAACGAAGATAAAGGAAACAATGAAGATCGAAACACCAAAAGATCGGTGATTGATTTCGCACCTCTTCTTCGACGTGTTAATGATGCGGATGGCCAAGAAGTGCATTTACCTGTTGGCTTTGTTCTTCGCCGCCGTTACGGCAAATGCAAATTTCCCTCTATTCAGCTCGCGTCAAATATTTGTACAGATTTCCATGAGAGAGTGCATTCTGGCACACAGGTGCTAAGTCTCGCAGGCCATTGTTAATGCCTCATCCTCATCCTCATACCCATTCCCAATTTTCCAGAGCCACTGCTAGCATGTTGCGGAATTTCCAGAATTTGCTTAATTCATCAGTCGGAGGTATGAAAGGGTTGGGTTTCGCATTCCAACTAAATCCCAGCTCTAACACCTATTCTGCCTAGTTTCGCATGGCCAACAGGTGCAAAAGCCATTAATGTTGCAGATGTTCCATGGCCT